AATCGAGTCAAGCCGTAAGTAAAGTGTGTAAATCGTTGTGAATTATAGCGTGTGTTAAGTTAAAGTGACTGTAGAAATTCTGTGTATTGCAAAGTTGTATTGAGAAAGAATAAACTAGTTTTATTTAAAAAAGGACTTGTATCGCTGAAGTTCCTCGGAAAGAATTTTTACGGGGGGGGGGGGGTGAAATTAACTAACGACCAGAGACAGCTGTTTTTGTCCAAGAATTAGATTTGTTGTATAGGACTATGTGCATGAAAGATTAAGTTTAATCAGTATTGAACTGATGAACTACGCTGTTTTAAAATTATCATGTGTACCGCAATGTTTTTTGTGTTATGTGTTTGGTAGCATGTTTATTATGCAACATTTCCATTCATGTAATCACTTTAGTGAAGCTATTGTACCCAATCTATCAGATCTGTATGGTGTTTTGCAGTCCAAATTTCTGTCAATATACCATATTAGTATTATAGGTAATTATATGTAATGTACATGAACTGTTCTATTTTTTCTGGATAGTGTTGTAATGCAAAGTCCAATCAACTTAACAATTATGAATTAACTTATTTCTTCAATCACATTCCATATAGGTTACATTCACTAATAGGCCTATCTTCAGAAACAATGTTTCAACAGACTTTCTGAGACTAATTGAACACCTAAATCACAAATATACTTAATCAATAACGTATTTTTGAAATTTTCTTGCTAATCAATTGATAACAAACACACTGTCTAATTTGCTAACTCAATCGCTATAGTAGGCAGGCAGCAATAATGCAGTAGATGGTATATTTATTACACCTAGAAGCACCACTTATACATTTGTAAGTACTTATTGTTATATACACATGCAGTCCACTGTTCTTCGACCTAATCTTTGTGGAACTGATTTTTCCACAGCACTGTCATTCATCTGTTGCACAAACAATAGCTTTTACTTAAAGTTCATTCCTAAGGAAATAACTGTTTTCATCTGTGGGTGATAGTATCAAAACAAAGCCAGATACATAACTCTTCATTTATGTCTATCTTATTGGCATTTGCCAGAATAAAACATGTATCTACTGGCCTAAATGATGGCATCACCTTAAGTGCTTGATACACCACATGGTTAATTAGCATTATGGCTGCTCCTGTACCAATCAGGAACTTGACTTCACTCCTAAGCACATATTTCTACACATACTTAGCTCCACCCAGTCTAGTGTGACAGGGGTTGACTTTTGAACACAAACTGACTACTATGGCCAGGTTTGAGCTGTACTACCTTAGTTTAAAAAGGCTAGAGCCGTGACAGACAAGGCTTGCTTATATCCCTCCTTAATCCATCGGGGAGTTGGGTGGAGCTGCACATTCCTACTTTATATGAATAATGTTTCATGAAATGCCCTGTCTATCTACAGTGTAGCAGACACTACATCCCTCCTATGTAGAACACTATCTGTGAGAAATTACCTGCTGCTCTCATGGCACAACTTATGAACCTTGGACAACCTTGACCACTTACTGGTATTTCTTATAACTGTGTCAAAACACTGAGAGTGCTTGAAACAGAGGAAATTTGGTTTAAGCTCCAGCTTTTCAAGATTTTGTTACATCTAGCTGAAGTAGAGCCACTGCAGTTACCAATGCAAGCTTCTTCCTTTCCTGCAAACTGTCTTGAAGTGACCACCTCAAATCTAGTTGCCCTGGACAATTGCTGTTAAGGTGTAAATGTAACTTTGAAGAACCCTTAATAATTTTTTCCATGCAGATATTATCACCACCTACATCTTCTATGGTAGAACATGCCTTTTTTGTGTACAACACTGATCATCTGCAAAGGTAGACAAATTGTTTTGGTTCCTTCATTTTTGAGCTTAACACTCTTCATGAACAATAAGTGATTTTCTACCTTTTTGAACCATCAACTGTGTTCTAGTCACTGAGCTTCATTTTTTCTCATCCAAATGTGCAATTGCATCAAGCACTGAGCTACATAAACTCAGCATCAGGCATTGCACCATCTATCCTACAATCTATTAATTTCAGACAGTCACCTCTCTAAAACACTTACTGAAACAGTTTATATTTTTTTCTTGAATGTTGGGGGTGTTATTTTTTACTAAAGACCAATGACCAGTGATATAGATAATCTCCAGCCTCATATGTGCTAGTATGTACTCAGACATCCATTACATCCTGAATACTGGTTTATGTTGATGCCCAGGGTCTCCAACATTCCTCCAGATAATCTCCAAACTCATCTGTGCTAGTATGTACTCAGACATCCATGACATTCTGAATACTGGTTTACGTTGATGCCCAGGGTCTCCAACATTCCTCCAAATATATAGTCTCATTTCTTAGCTGACAGATTAATGGGCAGCTAGAGCAAAAATTTGTCATCCTGCTCCACATAATCTAGAGCTTGCAGAACATTTCTAGTGACTTCATTATGCTCTTCACTGCCCAACAGGTCACCAGTTTATTTATCATATTTTATATAGCAAGACAATTCTGGCTGGAGGACTACACTTCCAGTTCCCTCCACTCTCTTCTCAAAATGATCGGTAGTGAGGTTCTCAACACTACTTTAGGGCCCTATAGAGATATCCTCCCTAAGTCTTGGGACTTCTCGATTACAAGTTACATAATAATCTTCAATCAACCATGTTTCCTGCCTTCTGATGTTCAGGTTCAATGGGAGAATTGGTTCAGCAGATCAGGAAGTTCCAGGCTGCAGTTATCCATCAAAAACCTGTGATGAGATTTATAATATAGAGATGGCCTACATGAGTGACAAAAAGACTTGTGTCCAAGAAAGACTTCACCTAGTCTTTAATGCATCATTGCTACCCTTCAGTGTCAAATTCCTCCTCTCACCTATAAGCTCATTTAGAAAATAACTCGAATTTTTTGAAGTTCAAAATATGTGTTCAAAAAGAGTATAAAAGAAAATCACCCATGACCAATTTCAAAAGCTTCGCAAGTACAATTCTTCTGACCATGGTACCAAAATTTCACCCTTATTACCTTATTGTGTGGTATCAGGTACACTATTTGTTATAGTTCATGCCCCCTAGTGGCACAGTACACATCTATGGACTTATACCAGTAGAAACTGGGTTTCAATACCCATAATGGGCAGAGCACAGAAAGCCCTTTGTGTAGCTTTGTGCTTAATAACAAACAACTTGTAGTTAAATATTGTAACCTTCATAAATGATTTAGCAGAAAATATACTTCATAGTTTGACTTCTGAATTTTAATTATACAATGTAACAGGTTTTGTTGCCTCTAACCTCAGCCTGAATTACATACAACTCAGCAATGTGGTATAACCTTTTGTAGCACTGCCTAAATGCCAAATAACTTAATAAATCACTATCATGCCCATTGTAAGCCTGAATTTCTTATAACTTAATGACTTATCCTCACATTAAGCCAGAATTATATGTAACTTAATTGTATTATCTTGACAGTGTCAGAAGAAGTTTCATTCTTTACGTTTAAGTAAAAAGTTGTATAGTCTAAATAAATATTATTTTATTGTATTGCAACATGTTTTCTTACAAGTTTTATAGCATAATTAATTATTGTTTATGAAAATGCTCTATGTAGTTTGAGGTGTTTTTCTACAATTAAAAGTGACTGGCAACTGGTTACCATATGTATAAAATTGTTAAATTAATCAACTTTACACTTAGAGTAATTAAAGTTTTCTTACAAGCTAGATAATTTATATACAAGGTGATTCAGAAATCCATTAATATGTAAGTAATTCAGAAATGGAGAGATATAGGTTTATTTGCTATTAAACTCAAAGCTACACAATGGGCTATCTTTGCTGTGCCAACCACTGGTATCCTGATTTTAGTTTTTATTAGCTTTCAAACTTATCATTGAGCCACTGGGGTGCAAGAGGTATAGGAAAATAATAGTTTCTTGTATGGAATGAGGTGTTGTGAGCCTACCCTGTGACAATATCATTGCAGTCATTCAGAGTCATATCCTTTGGAAATCTTATCAGTATGCATAATACAACCAAAATGTCACTGACAAAAGTGTAGAAAGTGATAAATTATACATTTTAAACTAAAACTTGCCCAAACAACTTCAAGAACAACAGTTATAAGCATAAATATATTTCTTCCATACAAATTAAGTTTTGCCACAGAGGATCGAAATCCAACCATAGCAGAGGGTGTTACACAAACCTGGGTTTGTAGTGCAAGGTCAAAATGCTTCATAAACTGGTCATTACATATTTGAAGGGTCCAAAAGATTAAAAAGTACTTAATTAAAAGCTTCCTATGTAAGGTAACACACGAACATTGTGCTGCAGCTTCTCCATCTAAATCATAGATCATCACAGTATTCATTTGAAGAACAGGTTAACATGGTCCCACTGTAAGAAGAATTTTACTCGAATGTCTAGATATTTACCAAATTGCATTCCAAGTGGTTCCCAGATGAACACCTTCTTTCACATCATAAAATAAGAAATATATGTCAATGGCTGCACACTACAGTCTAATTTACACACAGACACCTTGTAGCCAGACCAAGAACAGGAACCAATATTAACAATGAAGCTTACCTAGTGGCATTTGTCACATTTGGGTATCACTTTGAATCACAGCTATTGATTGTTTGCTACCATAATACTGTTAGGATATTTAGCTCATCTGCATTTATGTCTAGAATTGTTGTTGTTGTGGTACAATTTTGGTCATTTTTGGTTTAAAGTGCTTCACTTCTTATTGACCATAAATTTGCAATTGATATTTTCAGTGTTTGTTGCAGATTAATAAAAGTTTAGAAAGATCTGACCTGCAAATTTATCTTCAATGACACTGTCACAGAATAGGCTACCAACACCTCATTCCACACTACTAACACTTATTTTCCTATACCTCTAAATTTCTAAATTATTTGTCTGTCAGTAGACTGATAAATCACATGGTACATATATTTCACCATGTAAAAATAGGTGGGAAAGTCAGTAGTGTACTGTATTTAAATTGTCCACATAAGACAGTGCATATTTTTACTGCTTCATAACAATCACATTAATTTTGCCATGAAAAGCTCATCTAAATTAGTTTTAAGTGGTTTGAAAAAAACGTTTTAGGTAGAAAGATAACTCCTAATGATGTTAATTCTGAGCGATGTTGAACTATAACATTGCCATTATAAAACAACAGTAGAATAGTTTTTGGAAGTTAAAGTGGACTATTACTTAGTTTCTGATACACACTCTTGTGTATAATGTGCTTTTATTAGTAAGTTTAAATTTTGAAACTTTAGGAATTTTTATTATACTGATATTTTAACACTTCATATTTTACAGGACTTTCATATATTGTTGAAAATTTGGAACCAAGGACTTCATATCTCTTCCGGTTTTCTGCTAAAAATGCAGTTGGTGTGGGACCCTGGAGTACTTGGCTGTCCAAAAAAATGCCTCAGGAGTCAGTACCTGATGCACCTTTCATTATTCAGCCAGGTGGAAACATTAGCTATTATTCACAACACTATGAAATTCGCTGTATTATCCCTGCAGACAATGGCAAGCACATACTTTATTTTGAGCTCAAATACTTCAAGGTAATGAACACAGGAATATAATTATGAATCAGTTATAAGAAAGCATTGTTTTAACTATGATAGTAATAACAGTAATGAGGCATTGTTTGTCATATGTTTGTTATATTCAGTATTTGTTTCCTAAATTAGATGTATTTAAAGGTCTTTTCAACACCAAATATGTTAGTGTGTGTGTACTGGAATGTGAGAAATATAGATGAGATATTGAAAGAAAGGAGTGGTAGAAGTAGTAAAAACGCATTGATAGTTATAGAATTGCTTCATTTTATTTTTTAAGAAAATGACATCGATAACATTACTGGAAACGATGAACATTATAAGTAAAGTATTGAAAATGTGAAAATCATCATAGTTGTATAAAAATTTGAATTTTTTAATTACATCAAATTGCAATGGTATTGTCTCTTACAGTCATTTTAAGTTAAATCTATCAGCAATTATATTTAAATTGATGCCATCAACAATGACAGAATGTGTTTAGAATTGAAACATTACTTAACTTAGATTGAGTCACTATCGATGTAAGATATGGTTTTAAGCATCTTAAAGCTGAAAAATACCATTCTGATGTGCGTGTATGACAGATATGAGTAAACCAGTCTGACCAACTTATGTAGGTTTCTCATTTCCTCAATCAACAATAATGTCAAAAACATACTTCAGTGCAATTGCACTCAGTTGGGATTTAAATCTTCTGTATAGAATATTTTATTTTATATGTTGGTATATTTTGGTATGTGGTAAATGTTTCAATAATATCCAGAAGAATTTTTGCTTTACTGTTAGCCTCCCAGTGGTACAGTGGTATGTCTGCAGACTTATACTGTTAGAAACTGGGCTTTGATACCCATGGTGGGCAGAGCACAGATAGCCATTTGTGCAGATTTGTGCTTAATGACAAACAACAACTTTACTGTTAAATCTAAAATTTAAGACAACTTAGTATATAATCAATTACTTCACAATATACTTTTCTTTATTGTTCCTTAGGTGTAAAGTGTAATTGTGTGAGCCATTACTTAATCTTCTTCATATCTTGCTGGTATTTTTTCTCCTTATCCTGGGTTACTTTGGAGGATCCCAAAGCTAACTCATTCAAACAATTATTCATCTTATTAAAAAGATCTTCAAAATTTTCTCAAAAAGTTCTTATAGTATCATATAATACATTTATTATATTACAATCTTTGAAATGCAGAATTTTCTTTTGAAATACAATATTTGCTGCTTCCTTGTTTAGAAATAGATATAGAGATTTTAACATCAATAAGTGTATCAGCAAGTTCACATTGTTTCAGGAACACTACTGCTTTACCCCCAAAATGTTTTTGTTTTTTCTGTTTTGTAAAACTCTACAAGAAAATCTAAAATATGTTTATAATCACTGTAATCACATGGTACATATATTTCACTATGTAAAAATAAGAGGGCAAATCACTAGTGTACTGTATTTAAATTGTACTTATAAGATAGTGGTGATTTTTTACTGCTTCATGACAATCACATTAATTTTGCTGTGAAAAGCTTATCCAAATTAGTTTTATGTGGTTTGGGAAAAAATTTTATGTAGAAATAAATGTTGAGAAATACCTCTCAAGTGGTTAAGTATTGCTATGGACTAAGGGAAATGTTGAACTAGAGCAAATAACGTCTGTGGTTTTAGGAATCTAAGCAGCAGCAAAACTGTGTCTTAGTGTTGGATATACAAGAATGTTTTGTGTAAAAGAATTATTATTTAGTTTATTTAGTGATCTAGTATTTAATGATTGTTTAATTTTTGTAACAAGATTGTTAAAAGTAATTATTTTTAAAGGTGATAGTTATGACAAATGTTGTTATGTAACTCAGTAAGAGTTCTACATTGTGTGTGTAGTTCAGTTGTAATTTGACGTGATGATACTCAAACCTTTTGTATTTTTTTCACTGCTTTAAGTGAGTATTGTTACATCATAGCTTTTCATAATTCGTAGAAAGTTCTAGGCCTCAGTTGGGCAATGTAAATATATATATATATAAGAAACCCAGTGAGCATAATTCAGGTGAAGTTAAGTCAGAAAAACATGAAGTTAGCTGCAACGTTAGTGATTATCCTTAACAGATGATTTTTATATTGTGTTTTACAGATGTATTGTAATAACAAAGATAGGAAAAATAATTTATCTTGTCAGTTGAATTGTAAGGTAACTGAACTAGCTCTAGACATATCTGTGGTAACCCACTGGGTAACATAAGTGAATCTATTATAGATTGTGTAGTAAGAAACAGAGTAGAGAAAAATAATTCATCATGTAAACTGACTACTAAAGTAACTGAACTAGCCTGTGTGGACTTTTGAAGAAAAAGAGAATTTTTTTAAAGCTTTGGATACAACTGTGGTAACCAACAGAGTAACATAAGTGAATTTATCACTGATTGTATTGTGATGAAAAAGTATAAAAAAATAATTTGGTGCTAAATAACGGAACTAGCCTGTGTAAAATTTTGACAAGAAAAGAGAATGATTTAGAACTTAACATACAACTGTGATTTTCCATAGTGTAAAGAATTTTTATACCTACGTTTGACTTGTTTTGAGTATTGTTACGACAGCGGGAGTCACGTGACGAGTATTCTAGAAGATTCGCGATAAACGCTAGTGTGTTGCAACAGCAGAAGTCAAGTGATGCTGGTAGCACATGTTAAGAGCCTAGAAGATTCTAGAATAGGCGGTATTATCATATATAAGTGTGCTAGACAGAGAGAGAAGGGCAGAGAGGAGAGAGAGTGGAGAACCAAGGACAGCAGTTACGGTCATCGGGAACCAAGGATAGCAGATACAGAGATCGGAACTATAGTTGCTGACAGGCGGAGATAGAGACGGACAATTGAGTCAAGCGCAGTAGAAAGTGAGTGAATTGTTGTAAACTATAGTGTGTAACTGTGAAAATTGAGTGTATTGCAAAGTTGTATTGAGGAAGAATAAGCAAGTTTTATTTAAGAAAGGACTTGTAT